AAAAAAAAAATGGAAAAAACTGGAGGGTCGAGTGACCCTATGGGACCCCCTTTGGATCCGCCCTTGATCCTAGACAAGACATGTGGAGAAGGAATCGAGCAAGTATTGGCATCCCAAGCATGGAAATGGTAAGTTTAGTTAACGGTAGTTGACATAGTAAGTAAATTTGAAGTTTAATGCTTTAATTAGAACGAATTAAAGTTGGATGACCTAATTGATATTTCACTAGAACTTTAGTGACCAAAAAACAAATTAACCCATAAATGAGGGTAGGTAGACTATTCAATTTAAAAAAATAATAATAATAATAAATAAATAACTTGAATAGTTACTTGTACGTCCAAACTTCTTGTTGTATGTTGGAGTTGAAATTTATCAAATATTCTGTCAGCTGTTCTTCGTAATTCATGGTTGACAAGTTATAATAATATATTCAAATATACTTTTACCTACTTATGTTGGCATCCATTATTTGAAATTTTAATGATTTGAATAATTTTTTTTGAAAAATATGTAATTTAAAAAGAAGAATTTTTTTTAAAATTAAGTGTAATATTATTTTATTAAAAAATATGTGATTGATAAAAATAGATAAAGAAAAATGAGTTATACTTTTAATTAACACCAAATAGGGGTTAAGTAACATTTACAATTAATATCAAATTTAAATATAAATATTTTCGTATAAGTCACATGAGTTATAATTTTAATTAAAATCAAACAGGGGCTAAGCAACATTCACAATTAATATCAAATTTAAATCTACATATTTTCGTATAACTCACATGAGTTGTAATTTTAATTAAAACCAAATAGGGATAAGTAACATTCACAATTAATATCAAATTTAAATCTACATATTTTCGTATAACTCACATGAGTTGTAATTTTAATTAAAACCAAATAGGGATAAGTAACATTCACAATTAATATCAAATTTAAATCTACATATTTTCTTATAACTCACAACTTCTAATCGATTTCAAGCACATTGGTCGTTGTACTGAGGACCCGTTTGACAATACTTGTAAAAAAGAAAAAAAAAAAACCTTTTTGAAGAAGTTATTTTAAAAATCAATTTTTGATTTTAAATGAACCTCGAGCTTGAATAATGTATTAACCACGTGAAACTTTAAAAAAAAAATGTCAAAGGAAGACTGACCAATATTAAGTGGATGGGGCCATGAACGGAACAAGTGGACATGATTACAGGTCTGCGGCAGGAGGAGAGAGGTAGGCACCGATAACTGTCCGATGACTCCGATTCCATGGCGCACATGGTGGGAACTCATACAAGATTGAAATGACATAAATGTCCTTGCAACAGAACTAAAGAAATATCAATTTCGCAAAATTTTGGCGATGGTCATCGAGTTATTGTCAACTTGCAAATTCTTCTTTAACCTTCTGTTTCTATGTGCATCTCACACTCTAAAGACTTGCATTGACCACTTCTCCATCCAAAAATTTCCTAGGTTGTCTTTTTTTCTTTTTTAAATTCTTCATGTACTGGCTGCATTAAAAAGTTAAATTTATCCTCCGTTTGACTAATTGTTTCTAGGTATTTACTACTCAATTCTCAACCACTCATTTATCCTTGTTTATAAAAACCTTACCAGATATTATCCTTATCGAGGATTCAAAATAAGAGTGAAAATTATGCCCCCGTCTATGAATGATTAAAATTAAATTTTTTAGTAGATTTTAATAAAAGTTGATGAGATGTATGGTTCAAAATTTGTGCATCACATGAAATATATATTTAAAATTAATTATTGACTCTGACTTAAATTAAAATATAATTTTGATCCATACAATACTGAAGCCATATATGGATCATGTTCAAGAACTTGAAAGTAGTTTTTCGAATCTAATCTTCTATAAACTAAATAAATAATCAACTTACCAATTCGTGAACAAGCGAAAGTACAATGCTACCAAAAATAGTACTTGTTGATTTTCCGAACTTGAGGACATTGAATGGGCATGATCGTAGTCTTCCGGTACTTGAAACAAAGGCTCGGTTTGTTCTCGTCGCCCATTTGATACTTAAGTTACAGACAGAATTATATGTGTGAGGCTATGAACTGGAAAATAATGAAAATGTACCTGAATAATGATCCAATGTTGGTATTTATAGGGATAGATGGTCTACTCCTACTAGGATTTAGTACCACACTCCTCATAGGTAGGTTAGTTGTGCAATATTATCCCAGGGAGTCCTACATGAGAGAGGTGTTTAACTTGCAATACAATTGGGATAACTTAACAACAATAGAGACCTCTTGGACACAAGAGATGTGGGATGAGGTGTGTGAGTTAGATTAGGATCCTTAGCAATTAGGTCTCTTTTTGAACACAAGCCCATGCATTCAGAGCTCAAACAAAGGGACTTGCCCGAGCATGTCATCTACGGAAGCAGGGTTTATATTCCCGAGGACCTATTCCCGATGATATCAAATAGATCGGGCAAAGACACATACCCCGAGTACATCTACCCGACCACGATGAAGCCAAAATTGTGTAAAATAGACATTCTAAACCCTCGGGATAGATAAAGGTCAAGATACCGAAATTGACGATATCACTACTTATGATCACTGCAAATGAAACCTATCGCTAATGGATTTCATCTTCTCCTTTACAATGAACTAGTGTTAAGGAGGAGGCACCATTGCTTAGTTTGAAGATGGGATGGGCTAATGAGCTATTCTCGTCTTTATTATTTTCCTACTCGTTTTATTTAGTAATTAAACATAGGGTAAGAGCATCATCGTCCTTTGGATAAATTTTCTATTTTCGCAGCAATTTCAAGCATAACTATCTAAAGGTATTAAAATTGCAACATCGACGAAAATTTGAGCATTGTATTGTACCTTTTTAAAGATTGGAAATCAATTCGCAACTAAAGCAATAACTTAGGGACCAATATCAAGGAAATAAATTTCGCTGGTGTATCCTTTATCATATGACAGGTATCTTAAAAATTAAAATATCTATTATTGAATATTATATATTTGGAACAAATGATATGTTTAGATGCCACTTGAACACTATTATTTATTTCTGCGCATTTAATATTTTCGATGAAATTTTAATTTGAATAAAATAAATAATTCCATGCACTTAAATCAAGTCATACAAATGTCATACTTTTCTTACTAAAACATACTTCACAAAATACTAACGATGTGTTTAATGTGGTGTACCGAACAATACTAGAAAAAATACAAAACAACCAATACAACATTTATCAAATATGTATGCATTAATAACATACCAAATGTTCCCGTAATGAAATTGTAAATTCGAAAAAGTCTATGATTTTGTGCAATCAAATACTAAAATGCACATTATAAATACTAACGATATGTTTAATGTGATGTACTGAACAATGTAGAGAAAAAACACGGAAGAGCAAACAATATCATTTTTGACATCCTAACATTACGTATCATATATCCATGCGATAGGATTACGAATCAACATGTTCACGTGATTTCGAAAATGTCTATGATTTCGTACAATGAAAATCTTGAAATGTGCATTGTAAGTACTAATGACATGCTAAATATGAGGTACCAAATAATACTAGGCATAATACGGAAAAACATTTTGATATATTGACGACATTGTCTATGTAATAGGATTACGTGTCAAACACATCTATATGATTGTATTGTGTACCAAACATATATAAACGGTGAGATAAAAACTTCGGCTATGTTTGAACCACATTTTTTCAAAAAAATACATGATTTGACATAATTTCAATCCCACATTCTTCAATAAAATAATATTACTTGTAAATTCAAATTTTTTCTTTATTTTTAATTACACATTTTTCATCAAGATACTATTCAAAAAATGCATTATTAAGAATATAATGTGGCTCAAACAAGGACTTCATGTAAGAATACTATAACTGTGGTCCAATACCATGCCAAACGTGTCTAAACTAAATCTGAATAAGTTGGGGACTTTGTGCAATTAATTTGTCATATTCAATCACCTACCAAGATTTTGATGCACGATAGAGAGAAGGGTGAAAATGTAAATTCACACCTGACAATTATGCCTCTGTTTCACAATATTTTCTTACCAAACTTATTTTAAACCACACATTTTCAAAATAAAATATTTTACTTATTTTTAAACTATGTGTCTGTTTGATCCACATTATTTTAAAAAATATATTTTGGAACAATAAATTGATGAAAAATGTGTGGTTAAAAAATGAGAAATTTTTTTAGATTTACGTGTAATATTATTTTATCGAAAAATGTGTGATTAAAATGATATCAATTCAATGTTTAAGAATGTATTTTAAAAAGAATGGAGCTCAGATAACTTTATACATTCTTCAGAATATCATTATTTCAAAATTTATTTTCCCAAAAAACAATTTTTAATAATTGTCAAACATAGGCTATATTGTAAATTTTGTACATAATCATGTATTTATAAGATCTGTTAACAACTGAGATTCTCAATCTATATCTCCTCCGCCAAACTCTCCCTCCTCCAACAACTTTTGAACCCGCCCTTTCTACCCACCCACTCGAAAACGCACAGACACACGGAATCCCAGAGAATACCAGGATCCAAGAACCATGGCTACCAGCTCAATTTCTCGCGTAGCAAAAAATCCCACCAATTTCAGTATAAGAAATGTTGAATCCCAGAAAAAATCAATCTTTTCACGCCACCTTTCATTCTCCAATTCATCCATTTCCCTTCAAAAACTGTCACTTGTTAAGGGTTCCTATTTTTCAAGAAACTTCCACACCACACCAGTATTCAATGTCCTCGAAACCGTGGAATCAAAGTCCGATTTGTTGTCAAGAACCCAGTATCCCGATAACGTTGTCAGAACTGAAAGGCCCACAATCCTCGTCTCCGAGAAACTCGGGGAAGCGGGATTGGATTTGCTAAGAACATTCGGAAATGTTGATTGTTCATATAATTTATCCCCTGAGGAATTGTGTGCCAAGATTTCGTTGTGTGATGCGTTGATCGTGAGGAGTGGGACTAAGGTTACGAGACAGGTTTTTGAGGCGGCAAAGGGGCGGCTTAAGGTGGTCGGGAGGGCGGGTGTTGGCATTGATAATGTGGATCTGCAGGCGGCGACGGAATTTGGGTGTCTTGTGGTCAATGCCCCCACCGCTAACACCATTGCTGCGGCAGAGCATGGCATTGCTTTGCTTGCTTCCATGGCGCGTAATGTTGCGCAAGCCGATGCGTCCATGAAAGCTGGTATATATATTTCAATTATTTTGCATGTTCACCAAGTAGGATTCAACTTAATACATTTGAATCTGAAGAACAAAAATAAAAGATAGTCTCGTTGTGATCTGTGTAATTTTTGTCTGTGTTTTTGAGTTAATTTGTTAAAAAGAGAATAACCTGCACCAGTTAAATGGCGATGGATTTGGATTATGTATTTACTACAATACTAGTTTAATGTAAACCTTTGGGACTAATTAATCCAACTAGTTAGATCTATAAGTTTGCTGAGAAAAGTCTAAGAGAGTGAGAGAGAAAAGAAACTCCTGATCTGGCTTAGTAGATTTTGTGGTTGTTAATTCCCTGTCTTAGTGTGAGATAACCCATGAGTGTGTGCTCGGTTCTTTTAACATTTTCAACCTTGGCTCCGAAGGAGAGTAAGAAAGATTGAAAAACATCAGCATGAACAGGGCCATGGGGAGTACTTAATCGTTTCTACCATCTCAACGCCAGTTTAATTTGAACTGAACTATCTGATGCAAGGTCATAATTTGGCTTTATTTATTTATTTATTTATTTATTTTCAAAATAATTTATGTTTATGAAAATGGAAATGTGATGCATCTGAAGTTTTGCTGTATTCTCAGAGATTGGTTAACCTCTTATTTAAGCTCGTTGTTGTCAATTGCAGTCCTTCAATGTCTTTGTATGTATGGAGTACTACTGGCCTCCTTGTTGTATACATTGCAATAATGTATTTCTAATACTTCTTAAAGTCTTGACTAATTGATAAGTTTTACTCACCATCATGGACTTCTGAGGCGATTCCTTCACTGCTGCATAAATAAGTGGCTGCGCTTGCTTCAAAGTTTTTAATGTCTAAAAGCAAGGGACGTGCCAAGAACCCAGAAGACGAGGGTGTAACATATTGCATTACTAGCTTCTGTTTCTTGTGGCTTGAAGAAAAGATCACACATTTCTTTTGATTATAATTTTGTTACTGCCCGAAGAAAAAGTTGAAGTGACAGCTTATTTTATGCAGGGATGGTGTAGACACTTACTGATCCAAAAATTTTAAGATAGCTGAAATATTCCTTGGACGATTTCTATCATCGGAAACATTACACTCGTATAATTATTTCATATAGTTATTAGTCTAATTATCAGTTAAGCTTATCTTGCATAACAGTTTTTATATGAGTTGATTATTTCTTAATTGATGTTAACAGGAAAATGGCAACGCAACAAGTATGTTGGTGTTTCTCTGGTTGGGAAGACATTAGCAGTCATGGGATTTGGTAAGGTTGGTTCTGAAGTTGCAAGACGTGCAAAGGGACTCGGCATGCATGTTATTGCACATGACCCTTACGCTCCAGCTGATAGAGCACGTGCTATTGGTGTGGAGTTGGTCTCTTTTGATCAGGCTATCTCCACTGCAGACTTCATTTCACTCCATATGCCTCTTACTCCTTCAACTAACAGGGTATTTAATGATGAGACCTTTTCAAAGATGAAAAAGGATGTCCGCATCATAAATGTAGCTCGAGGTGGTGTTATTGACGAAGATGCCTTAGTGAGGGCCCTTGATAATGGAACAGTTGCACAGGTATACTCTTTGAGAGTGATTTCCACAATAAGTCCAAGTTATTTTGACCTTCTGAATTATCAAAAATGGATATGACCTTAGGACTACTCTGTTTCAGTCTAGTTCCATCAGCTTGGGTATATTCTCGTATTTTCACAACTTGCATCTTTTCATACATCATATGATGGATTTATTTTTGCAATGTGGTGCAAAATTACTGCAGACCTTGTTAATGCTATGTGAAACTGATTTTCTGGGCATTGTATTTATTAGGCGGCACTTGATGTGTTCACAGAGGAGCCCCCACCTAAGGACAGCAAATTAGTCCAACACGAGAATGTTACTGTTACACCACATCTTGGAGCTAGCACAAAGGAAGCGCAGGTAAGAATTCTTGTGGACATTGCCTCATTTGCATGTGATGTGAGCTGTTAACCTTAATGCTTATATTTCAGGAAGGAGTTGCAGTCGAAATAGCTGAGGCAGTTGTTGGTGCACTGAGAGGGGAGCTTTCTGCTACTGCAGTCAATGCTCCTATGGTTCCTCCCGAGGTAAAAATAAACAAAAATAACTGCTACCATCTATATGTGCTTCTTTAGATCCCTTGCTTCAGAACTTCGTTAGGTGAAACTGAAAATTTCCGATTTTTCGTTATCAGGTCTTGTCAGAATTGGCTCCTTATGTAACACTGGCTGAGAAACTGGGTAGGCTAGCTGTACAGTTAGTTGCTGGAGGAAGTGGAATTCAATCTGTGAAGGTGGTCTACGAATCAGCTCGAGATCCAGCTAACTTGGACACCAGACTTCTTCGTGCCATGATCACGAAGGGCATTATTGAGCCTATATCCGACTCCCATATCAACCTCGTCAATGCAGATTTCACTGCCAAACAAAAGGGTCTCCGAATTAGTGAGGAACGAGTTTTGGTGGACTCGTCATCTGAAAATCCTATTGACTCGATCCAGGTACAAGTTAGTAACGTGGAGTCAAAATTTGCAAGCGCTTTGACAGAGAATGGATACATTAGCATTGATGGGAGAGTTAAGTATGGGATACCTCATCTAACGCGTGTAGGATCATTTGAAGTTGATGTCAGTTTGGATGGAAATCTCATACTATGCCGTCAAGTAGATCAACCGGGAATGATTGGACGAGTCGGAAACATCCTTGGAGAGCGTAATGTTAATGTGAGCTTTATGAGTGTGGGAAGAACTGCTAAGAGGACAAAGGCCATAATGGCAATTGGAGTAGATGAAGAACCTGACAAGGATACGCTTAAGAAGATTGGCGAAGTTCCTGCAGTTGAAGAGTTTGTTTTTCTGGAACTTTGAAAGCACACATTTCTTGGAAATGAGGTTGAAGCGTGGACCTATGTCAAGAATAAATAGCAGCTACTCACCGAAAAGCGGCAGATTCTTCCTGTCTCCGTCTGTTCATGGAATTTTTATAATTTAAGTTGCCCTGTTCGTAATGAAGGGATGCACTATCATCGTTTTTAATAGATTGAAAGCATATTATGGTTTCATATGTTGTTGTCATTGTTTAGAGCTAGAAGTTGTGTTTATGGGATGCTGGTGTTAATTTAAGAAGTTGAACGTTTCGGATTAGGTGAAGTACTCTTTCATTTGTAATTCTCTTTTGATCAAATTGTTTAAATATTGCTTTGCATTTGTTCAAATCCATTTTTATTGTGATGTTTCCTTTGAGCTCAAATTTAATGTTTATTTCTATATATAGATATGCCTATCTCACAAGATCCAAGATGATAGTTTGACATTACTTAACCGCATTGCACGAACTGCATCATAGATAGAGATCGAGGTACCAATCGACTGCATCTCTTTCCGGTTATTCAATAAAGTAGATGAGGGGAATATATGTATGTGTGTGTGTGTGTCTTTCAAAAAGCAATTGATAGTTTAGTTGTGAATTGAAATTATGTAAAATCAATTGATTGCCAACATAATTATAGAAGTACTTTCATTTAAATACAATATTTATTTAAGTAAACGCTAATTATTTTCTATGAATCTCATCTTCTTAAATAACACTTATTTCATATCATATAAAATTTATTATAATTAATATTTTAATTAAACTATCGTGACAAATTATTTATGTGTCATATTATTAAATTTTATATATAAATGATAACATTATGTGTAAGAATCACCTTTATTCTCTCTTGTTTCTCGTAATAATATTTCAAAAAGTAGAAGCAAGAATAGAAGTCCCGTCAAATACATTCTTAATGACAATAGTAAATAGTCTTTTTTGAAAGTAGCAAAGAAAACCTTCTATAGTTGGTAAAGGAGATGAAATATAAATTTATTAATTATTATCGTGAATAAAGTAAAAAATTAATGAAATAAGTCGTTGCGAAATTGTTGAGAATAACTTTCAGTTGTCCATAGTTTTAAATTGTTGTTCGTGAGCCATTCACACTTCTATTTTCCATCAATGCAACTTTTTAAAACAAATAAGTGGAGTCATTTCACTTCGAATCTTCGTTATCCTATTAACGAAATATGTGTTACGATAAGAGTATAATTATTATAGGACATCTAGAGTTTGAAACATATCAAAAGAATTTACCCAAAAATTCAAATCTACCTTATGTAAGAAACAATATGCATTAAAACACTAAAAGTGAGGTTAGGCCCTGTTTGAGCCCCATTAATTTTTGTAATGTATTATGGAAAAGTAAATTGATGGGAAAGGCATGATTAAAAAAGACGAATTTTTTTGATTAGCGTGTAATATTATTTTAATGAAAAATATGTAATTGAAAATAAGTACCGTAGAAAAAAATGAAAAAAAACAAGACTCAAATAGGGACGGACTTAATGTGGAGCACTAATGACTATTTAAACTCTTAAGAAACGCAATATTTTGAANACATAAATTTTGCTTATCTATTGCATAGTAAATGATTAGACATGAACGCGTACGTCTATGTTCTCCAAATCGAATTGGAGAGAAGGAATGTAGATCAAGCAAGTACCTTAATTATTATGATTTTGCTAGTAGTACATTAGAGTGTACATAATGGTGTACATCTCAATCACATGAACGAGTGATCCACTTAAATAAAATATTATTTCTTTCACATGGATCTCACACCCATGTGAGTGGATTGTATACCATTCGGTATGCCCATTATGTTTCACTAGATAAATTCTAATTATTAATTGTTGGAATTTATTTTGAAAAACAAAAATTGTGGCTAAAATTTCAATTTAAGAGGGTGCAGATACTGAAATACGATTTCGAGGAGCTCCTATTCTAAAGCAAACCCTAGCTCTCAATTAAGAAAAGAGTAACATAAAACCAACAGATCGATTCCCCTGAGAAATGGCCGGTGCCGGAATTCACCCATACCATCAGCAATGGCCACCAGGCGCAGCCCCTCCTGCGGCTTCCATGGCCGTTCCTCCTCCTCCTCACCCCCATCCTCCTCCAATCCCCATGGATAACCACGCTCTCCAATCACCCTCGGACGAGGTACGCACTACAATTTCAACCATTCTTTGTTTCAATTCTTCAATGCGAACAATTATGATGGCGTTAATTTTAATTTTTTTGTGGATTTTTGAAGGTACGGACGATTTTCATTTCGGGATTACCGGAGGATGTGAAAGAGAGAGAGTTGCAGAACTTGCTGAGATGGTTGCCGGGGTACGAGGCATCGCAGGTCAATTTTAAAGGCGAGCATCCAATGGGTTTCGCCCTTTTTGCTACTGCTCAGCATGCACTTGCTGCCAAGGACGCCATACAGGTAATTTATTCTACTGCATTCTATTAACTCGTCCGCCCTGTCTCTCTCAATCTATAATTATTTTTTATTTATTTATTTATTTTTTAATTCTGATAAATTTTCTTCCTTATATTTTGAAATATTATGGTGTTCAGGATATGGTCTTTGATGCTGATTCAAAGTCTGTACTGCACACTGAGATGGCCAAGAAGAATCTTTTCGTGAAAAGGGGTGAGATTTATTTATTTATTTTTTATTTGAAAACATTCTAAATTAGTTGAGTGAAGTTGATATTTTCAGAACACTGAATCGATTGCTCTAGGTGCCACAAATTGATATAGCAATAGAATATTGAACATATATATTGATTCTGCGCATCGGTTTTGCCAGGTGTTAACAGCTACTCTGTAAATAGTAAATATTTAAAATCATAGGAAACATAGCCCCTGTTTGGTTCTGATTTTTGACCCCCGAAAAATCAAATTTTTGACTTTTACTTCCCCAAGTCAGCCGGCATTTTTGACTTCTTCACTCACGGGCGGGACCCACTTTTCTCTCTAATGGTCAAAAAATTGATTTTCATAATCACTACCAAACAGACCTATAGATTACGTACAATTGCAAGGTATAAAGCTGCAAAGTTCTTTGTTTGATGAAAATTGGTGATCATCCAGTTTAAGCTAACCAAATTAATTTTTTAGCAGATCCTTTCAACTCTGTGCTTGTTGGCCTTTCATACCTGCTCAGTTGAGTATAACTGATCATAATATAAATCCTGAAAAAGCTACATTTTAACCTCTTCTTGCGTAGACAGATCTAATAGAGTGCGTATGACTGTCGTGAATCATTAGCCATTAAATGAAATAAGCGGTGTGGTTTCGCATTTATTCATCCACATACAGCTAAGAGCAGCTGAAAAAGGGACTGCTTTAGCTGCCTCTTAAGGCCCGATCTAATGGTTATGACTGAAATAAATGTTAGAAAGTACGGAAACTTGTAGGATAAGTTCTAACTCGAAAAAAGATCGAAGATTTATTTGAGTCATAATATAAATTTTTTCTGTTTCACTTCTAGATAACCAAACATTATTTGGTTGGAGTCATTATGTTTGTATTTTTGTGCATCGTTGGTGAACTGCAGTCATCTTACATGAGAATCTTACAAGATCGTTGTCTTGGGGCCCCTATATATGCTTTTATGCATTTTTCTTGAAGCAACTTTCTCTGGTCAGTAAGCAATTCAGTCCTGCCATCCTTTTTTATTTTTCCTTTTAGTTAAATGATATTGTAGAATAAATTTTGATTTATCGATTTTAAATTGTTGAATCATGTATCCTTTTGTTAGTGTTGCAGTAGACACCTTCATTCATCGGTGACTTACATTTGACTATATCTTCATTTAGAATGGACCTTGTGCTGCACTTGATCATATGGAATAAAATAATATATGAGTGCCCGCATTTGGTTCATTTGATGTTTCCATATCTTTACTTTAATGTTAACTGGAACTTCCAAGGTTTTTCTGTGATGTATAGATAGTTGCTTATGGATGATTTTCTTTTGAGTGTGAAAATGGAATATGTACCGGGAGATCAGGCTATAGTTGTAGGCTTCACACTATTAATGGCCTGAAGGTGCTGCACTATATCAATTCGTGTCTACTACTGTAGTTGACACAATATCCCTTGAAATGAGGTTTAGTATCACCCTTGCAAAGCCTATGCTGAACACATAGTTTGGAGAAATCATTCTCATGAAGCATTTGTTTCATTTGTTCCTTTTTATCTTTTTAGCTGAGTTGCTTTGCTAATTTTTTCGTTCATTTGCAGGAATTGTTGCTGATTCAAATGCTTATGACCAAAATAAACGTATGCGAACTGGTGGTGATTATACGCATGCTGGTTATTTAAGTCCATCTCCTTTTCACCCTCCCCCAGCACCTGTCTGGGGACCACATGGGTAAATTGGGTTCAAGTATTATAGCAAAAAGCATGTTACTAGAGAAGTAGTCCTGAGGGTCTTATCTCAAGAATAGTTTCTGGCTATGATGAATGACACCAATTGGAACCATATTTGCTTGAACTAATATTGATGATTATTGGCTTAGGTATATGGCTCCGCCACCTCCACCTTATGATCCTTATGGAGGTTATGCTGTTCCTCCCGTCCCAATGCCTGCTTCAGCTCCTGTACCTGCACCAAGCAGTTATGTACCTGTGCAGGTGTAGTCCTACACTTGCTTCTCATTGTCAAATTTGGGTGGAATTTATTCATTTCTCTTTTGTGTTTATGATAAATCTTGTTTATACTCTTAATAAGGATTTTTACTTATAATCCTTACCACTGAACCCATTGTTCTATGAATAAGTTGTTGTATTACTTTTTTGTAGAATAATAAAGACAACCCACCTTGCAATACACTGTTCATTGGCAATCTTGGTGAGAATATTAATGAAGAAGAGCTGAGAGGCCTTTTCAGCGCGTATGGTTTTTTGGACTTTGCTCATTTGGGAACAATCACACATTTGATTGGATGCTTATATATCACAGATGTTGACTAGTTTGTCTGCTTTACATTGCTCTTTAATCTATGCAGACAGCCTGGCTTTAAGCAGATGAAGGTATTGAGACAGGAAAGACATACAGTTTGCTTCATTGAATTTGAGGTAAGATTCCTGGTTTGTCGATTGGGGTTAGTACTTATCGCAATCATACTTTGTGATGCATGTCCATTCCATCCTGCTCGACATAATTTTTCTGTATCGTACATGCAGGATGTGAATAGCGCCACACATGTGCACCGTAGCTTGCAGGGTGCTGTTATACCCAGTTCTGGTTCTGTTGGCATGCGCATTCAATATCCTTTATGTTCACGTTTTCTTGTGCATTTATTTATTTATTTATTTTTATAACCTAGGACGTTCTTGTACCATACTTCTTCAAGTCTTATCTTTTGATGGTAGGGAGGTTTCTAGCTAATATGTAACGTAGTTCACCATGCTTCTCAAGGCATGTGCTTTATTGAAACACTATCTGAATCTCACATGGATTCGGATGATACATCTCTAGATTTATATTCACCCAAAACTTATAGAAGAGGGACACGATTTTGTTCACCCTCCCAACCAAAATAAAAAAAGAAATGAAAATAGTAATAAGAAAAATATTAAAAAATAATAATAATACATTTTACGAGCAAGGAAATATGCATATTTGATGACATGTTTTCTTGTTTAAACGTAGGCTTACTTTTTTCCTTGACTCCAAGAAACATATTCGAAGAACCCATTTGGAAGAAGGAAGGACTCTGTCAACCTAGCTGTGCCCCTCGGTGTGAATGCTGCTCCAGCACCCATGACCTATCAGTAGCTGAAAGGGGGTGTATTCTGTTCTCTATGCTCTGACATACAAACCACTACATGGTAGGATGCATCATGCAATGCATCCATTCATCATCAAGTCATCGGCATTAGCATCTCGTCTCATATATAAATGCACGCTATGGTGTCTCAAACACACTGTTGATTCATATTATACTTGATATCCAAGACATGCATTCAATGCAGTTCCATCGCTGGATGATTTGTTAGCCTAATCATGTTCTATTACACGTTACATCAGTGTGCATGGTTTTGTTCTTCGGTTCAATGGTTTTGTTTAACTACTTATGACTCCGCAACATGCTTTTCTTCTGACATCGATCTTTACACGTTATATATTTATTGAGAAATGACAGATAGCATGTTTGGCTATGCTTAAAAGTAAATATTACTTTTGCCATACTTTCAAGTAAAAAATATTACTTAGCTTACTATCAAATAAGCCACTTATTTCCAATTTTCACCAATTAATTTTTTTTTTGTTTTTTGGAATTTTTTATTTATTTATAAGTGATCTTTTTAAGCTGAGCCAAACATGCTCTAAACTAATGTGTTTTTTAACTTTTTAATGTGCACTCACGCTCAACTTGCACTACATGTCTTCGCATTTCAAGGAAATGGTACCCAGTCTCATTTCATGCACGACCATTAATTCATAACACGAAAGATCTGGAAATATTCACAAGATCATATTACCTTTTCAGTTGGTAAAACCATCACTGCCTTCTCTGTTTAGGCTTCGTTTGGTTGATTAAAATTCCTTAGAGCCCATCAAGTGAGCTCATAATATCACACAGTAACGTCCAGGGTTGAAATCATGAACAATTGGAAGAATCTTGGAAAATAGATTCTGCTGTTCTCGTGCAGGATTCTCAAAACATTTTCCATACAAGGATGATCAAGAGCAGGACTGATTTGTTACTTGTGACTTGTTCTAGAAACTGGGTTACCAGTTAAGGAGTCTTTTTGGTTGTCAAGTTAGTAGCTTATTGAGGATTTATTTTTTCCTGAATATGAAGTGGAGAGAGCCTTTTTATTGATTGAACTGAAATATTGTTTTTGCGTTAGGCTGGCAAACTGGTTGCTACGTAAAATGGTGGTAGAAATAGAATTAGTGTGTGCGGGTGCAAATTTGCGGTCAAGTATTAGCCTGTTAGATTGACGCTATTTATTGAAATGAACGTGTCCTTTTAACCGTGTAAGCTTCTGAACAAAGTGGATTAATGTAATGTTAGAGCAATGATGGATATTGGGTTCAGTCCGTTTAAAAATGTGTTGGCATTGGGATTTGATGGGAAAAATAAATCGTTCTACTCTTCTTCAATAGGTTAAACTTTGGGATAAAGTGCTTTGTGGTGAGACCTTGATATTTTGTTTAACCTATTCTATTGGGTGAGAGTGATCTTCGGTTCACATTTATTTGTAGGGTTTTCACTATTTGTAAAGTTTGGTGAGATGCAAACATCTCATTTGCAAGAAGCAAGGGGCAGTCGAAGAACAGTGGCAGCACATTGAGCGTTTTAATTTTAAGGAAATATCTGTTGAATAATGTGGTGGTTAAAAATTATAAGTTTGTTATAAATCATTTTAAAAAAAATCTCTTCCAAACAAAACAAAAGATTTCATCAACCAAATTGGGCAACTGAAATTATAGCATCTTGTTATTGAATGGTACTGCCTAAAGAGAATTAAGCAGCAAAAGTTCTTTTTATACCGTGGTTATTTTGGAGAATGTAGTTAAAAAGCATGAAAAAATTATATAAAACACAAGAAATGATTTTTCTTATGATGTGTGATAAAGGAGCGAAGAAAAGTAATTTTTGTAAAATTATTGTCACACATGGAAGGGTAAATACTGCAAATAATGTTATTAATCCTAGCCCAATATGATTTGCTACAGGAAATAGGACATTCGATCGAAGACCTTAGAGACGTTATGAAACAGCTCGACCATGATGGAGAGATGTTACTAAAAAAGTTGATTATCGCATGTTGTATGGGCTTATTGGGTAAATTATATTGTGCTTGTTTAGTACAAATTTTAAGTTAATTATAATTAATTTTTTTGATCGTTATTTCATTATTTCAATCGTTATTATTGAATTTTTTTCTTACGGGTAGGATTTATTTTATCTCTAACGGTTAAAAAATTAATTATCAAAATTTCTATCAAATAAGGACATCATTTTGGAGTGGATGGGAGAAATATTATTTTGTTTCGAAGTGGGGTTAGGTTGTAGTTGTAGAACTTTGCGGCCATGTGACCGTCAATTCACACTTGTAAATTTAACTACTTTATTAGTGGTATAAATATGTTATCCAACTCAATTGTTTATCATTAAGACGAACCTTGCTTTTGACCACTATTAATTTATTATCAAATGCCATTTCATTAAACAGGTTTTGTTAACTATATTAAGCCCGGTTTGATTTTGATAGAAAAAATTATTGGAAACTATAATTGTGAAGTAGTAGATTCGAATTAATTGTTGAATTTAATGTAAAGTTTAATTAAAATTTGGGCTAAATAGTAAATTTGGGCTAGAATCCTAATAGAATAAGAAAAATTAAATGAATATAATTAGGAAAAATTAGGCAATACTCTGAAAAATTGACTCATTTGATCACTACCCTATTAACTGGTGAAATCATATAATTAGCGTAATTAAAACATTCTAGAATTACAATACCATCCAAAATCCAAATAAATAGTTCCCATTTCAGAAAAATCTCAGAGAACTCTCCACCTACTACTCCACTTCTTCTCACCACATTTTAGAATTACATTGTGTTTTTTCTATTTGCCCTGCAAGTGTGAGGCGGAGCATCACACCTATGAAAAGTGCGAGTATGAACTTGTTATAGAGAGAATGCTCTAGATGCAGAAGATTCGTGAGCAAGAAGCCAAGATGAAGGGCTCTCAGAAAGGCCAGTTGCTCATTCCTCTCATCCCCAAAACAGCCGATGCTTGAATCTAAAAGATTGCATTAATCAAGACAATGCATCATTTGGACCTTCGCTGAATTCAAGTTCTTCAACACCAGGATGTTTATGGAAATTTTAAGGAAGAAGCTAAACTGTGGGCAGTGGTAGTCATCGGAGGACTTAATTTGAAATTATTTTGGTGTTATGTAAACATGATTACTAAATTACTCTCACTTTCCCCTGGTAATCTAGTTCCAAATAAATTTTATACATTTGATGTCTGTTTTACTATATGTTTTCTGAAAACAACTGTTGGTGTTTTTTATTCTTCAGAAGTGATTATTAGTTCAACTTTTATGCAAATTTATGATAAATTCGTAACTTTGTCAAGGCTAAATAATATCGTTACTAGTAGGATGAATGATGTGTTGTGAATATTTGCATTCTAGTACGAATTTTTCTTAGAGATTCTTAAAAAAAAAAAAAATCCATAGTGTTAGGGATGTATTTAAAATGAGATGAATATATAAAATTTATGTGGATATATGTTATTTAAATGAATGAATTTAATAAGGACAATATTGGAATATAACGTGGATGTAAATAGTAATTTTTTAAAATTTTAAAATTTTATTGGAGATGAAAGTAGAGTGAGATGTACTTATAAAAAGTGTGGATGGAATAACACTATCCCTATAATTTAATGATTGGTTTGATGATTAACGTGAAATTTGCAGTTTTTAAAACTTATTTATTTAATGCTGTCATTGTTTGGGTCCATTTGGAAAAGATTAAAAAGATACGTGGAAGAATGTCAGATATCAATGGGTAGAAATCTATAGAATTAATATGAAACCGCGTTGAAGATTGAAAATCTGATTCAGCATTCAACACAAAATGACAATAATAATTCTTTATAGAAAACAGAAGCATTAAGCTTAAAGCAGTGCACTCAGCCGCAAAATTGTTCAGTCTTTGTTCACACCGTCTTCTTCTGCAAATTCTGAATCTGTGTATGTTTCTTCTGCAATTCATATAAATTATGTTTATGATTTTTCATACAGAGATCTTCGTTTTTAGCTTAATTTTGAATTTCGAAGTTGAATTTTGTTGGAAATTCAGTAAGCCCTTTTGGTGTTCTATTCCTTATTTTTTTCAGCTGAAGGTTATTTTATTTTATGTTTAAGTATAAAATTGCTCTGTACTACTCTTGAAGTTTGTGAATTTTGTTAATAATATGCATTTTAATAACTAGACGTTTTTAGTTCTGTGTGAAGTGAAATGTTGATTTTTACAGGAATTCTGCGTACCTCGTGGTATTCTGTCCCTCTCAGCTTTTGTGTCACTTGATGAAAGAATTCGTTTGGAAAATTTCCGATACTTATAAACATAGATTCTTCTCTCCATATTATCTATATGTAGTAATGCTCGTCACTAAACTTTTTCAAGAAATGAGTACTAATATGGAAAAGGGTTTGAATTTTTTGCTGCTGATTCTTTGCTTCTCTGCATCAATCCATGACGTATCAGCTTTGAGTCATGATGGTACAAGTCTGTTGGCCCTGGCTAGGCATTGGACAGTTGTACCTCCTCCCGTGAAACTGAGCTGGAATGTATCAGATCCCACTCCTTGTTCATGGTTTGGAGTACAATGTAATAGACACAACTTTGTGACTGATTTGAACTTGACTAGCTTAGGAATCTCGGGCCAGTTGGGACCTGAGATTGCATCTCTAAAGCACTTGAAATTTCTTAACTTCAGCTTAAACAGCTTTTCCGGTCCGATTCCTTCAAACATAGGCAATTGTAGTCTTCTTGAATATTTGGATCTCTCAACCAATGACTTTACAGGGAAAATCCCGGAAAGTCTTGGAAACTTGCAAAAATTACAGTATTTAGGCTTGTTCGAAAACTCTCTAACTGGCGTAATTCCAGAATCCTTGTTCCTGATTCCTATTTTGAGTTTCATTCTCCTCAGTACCAACATGCTTAGCGGTTCAATCCCATTGAGTGTTGGAAACTCAAGCAATCTTGTACAACTGTACTTGTACAGCAATCAATTATCAGGGACTATCCCTTCCTCCATAGGAAACTGCAGTAACTTGCAAGAACTTGTTTTGACTGACAATGTGTTGATTGGGCCTTTGCCTCCGAGTATGAATAATCTCGAGCAGCTTTCATACTTAGATGTCAGTTACAATAACTTGGAGGGCCAGATTCCGTTGGGTTCAGGTAGTTGCAAGGAAATAAACACTTTGGTTTTCTCGTCAAACAGATTCAGTGGTGGTATTCCATCCGGGTTGGGCAATTGTAGTAATTTAACCACTCTTGCTGCTGTTAACTGTGGATTAAGTGGTTCGATCCCATCTTCTTTAGGCCAACTTACTAAAATGACAACACTTTACCTGTCCGAGAATCAATTGTCGGGTATAATACCACCCGAACTGGGCAAGTGCAAATCTTTGATGGATTTGGAGCTATATGGAAATCAATTGGAAGGTGAGATCCCTAGTGAACTGGGGATGCTCAGTGAGTTGCAGGACCTACACCTTTTTACCAACCATTTGACAGGTGAAATTCCAATTAGTATTTGGAAGATTCAAAGCCTTCAGAACATTCTTGTGTACGAAAACAATCTTTCTGGGGAGATACCTCAAGAAATCACTGAGCTAAAGAACTTAAAAAATATTTCCCTGTTTGACAATCAATTTACGGGAATCATACCTCAAGGTTTGGGAATCAATTGTAGTTTAACTCAAGTGGACTTCACCAGAAACATGTTCACCGGCCCTATTCCACCAAATCTTTGCTTCAGAAACCAATTAAGGAAGCTCATCTTGGGTCAAAATCATTTTCGAGGAAGTATTCCTTCTGATGTAGGAAGTTGTTCTTCATTGACAAGATTGACTCTCAAGCAGAATAATCTAACCGGTGCACTTCCCGAGTTCGCAAAAAATTCAGAGCTTCTGTTCATGGACCTTAGCAAAAATAACTTAAACGGATCAATACCCTCAAGCATAGGAAACCTTGCCAACTGTACCTCTATAGATTTCTCTCTCAATAAGTTCACAGGCCATATACCAGTGGAACTACAGATCCTTTCAAATCTTGAGACTTTAAATCTGTCCCACAATGGCTTAAAAGGCATACTACCGTCTCAGCTATCAACCTGTCATAAACTGTCAGAACTTGATGTGAGTCACAATTTGTTGAATGGCTCTATTCCGACCAGCTTTAGAAGCTTGACAGAAATATCCATTTTGGATCTAAGCGAGAACAGTTTCACAGGTGGTATTCCATCCTTTTTGTTTGAATTTGAAATGCTGTTGACTCTGCACCTTGGTGGAAATATGTTTGCTGGTGATATTCCTTCATTCCATCTATCAGTCGGAACAGCACAGAGCCTCAGATCGTTAAATCTTAGAGATAATAGATTGTCAGGACACATTCCTTCAGAGTTCGGGAAATTAAATGTGCTAGAGGAGCTAGATATATGTTGCAACAGTCTGTTTGGACCTTTGGAGGCGCTTGACAATATTCATTCATTGCTTGAAGTCAACGTTTCTTATAACTCGTTCAGTGGTCCAATACCACATGAACTGATGAAATTCTTGAACTCCTCTCCCTCTTCATTTGAGAGCAACCGGGGGCTTTGTGTCAACTGTCTTGCATCAGGTCTATTGAATTGCCTTGGGAACAGCAGTTTCAGAGTCTGTGATCATCAGTCGAAAAACAGTAAAGGACTAGACAGAGTAGCTATTGCAATGATAGTTCTTGCATCTTCACTGCTTCTTGTTTTTCTAGTCCTTGGAACTGCTTATGTATTTTTCAGGCGCAAAGTGTCCGAGCAAAAAATTGTAATATCTGCCGAACAAGGTGCATCTTCTTTGCTGAATAAAGTAATTGAAGCTACGGAGAATTTAAATGATAAGTTCATTATTGGGAGGGGAGCTCATGGAACAGTGTACAAGGCTGTGTTGGGCCCCGATAAAGTGTATGCAGTAAAGAAGCTGGTGTTTGGTGGAAGCACCAGTATGGTTCGAGAAATTCAGACAATTGGAAAGGTCAGACACCGAAATCTTCTTAGATTGGAAGACTTTTGGTTGAGAAAAGACCGTGGTTTGATTTTATACAGATACATGGAAAATGGAAGTCTTTATGACGTTCTCCATGAAACGCATCCGCCTTGGCAATTAGAGTGGAATGTTCGGAATAAGATAGCACTTGGAACTGCCCAAGGATTATCGTATTTGCATTTTGACTGTGATCCGCCTATTGTGCACCGAGACATCAAACCGATGAACATATTGTTGGATTCAGAGTTGGAGCCTCATATCTCAGATTTCGGCATAGCCAAGCTCTTGGATCAGTCCGTCGCATCGACACCATCCAGCACAGTTCAGGGCACCATTGGGTACATAGCTCCAGGTAATTATCTTGTATTCACGTTTTCAATCTCTTTTTTGGGGTTCCTGTTTCTTTCTAAATAATATTTTCCTATATATATATATATATATATATATATATATATATATATATCTTATGCAAATTATTTCGTGTAATGTAAATTTGGACAGAAAATGCATTTGCTACTATGACTAGCCAAGAGTCTGATGTATATGCTTATGGAGTAGTCGTTTTGGAGTTGATTACTCGAAAGAAAGCAGTAGATCCTTCATTCTGTGGGGAAATGGACATTGTTGGATGGGTGAGATCTGTCTGGAGCGGAACTGAAGAAATTGAGAAGATAGTGGATCCAAGCCTGCTCGACGAATTCATAGATTCAAGCATCATGGATCAAGTGATCGATGTGCTCTTAGTTGCTTTGAGATGTACAGAGAGAGAGCCAAGCCAAAGGCCGTCGATGAGAGATGTTGTGAAGCAGCTAACACTACCTAGATCCAATAGCAGAAGCAAGTAAGAATGCATTTTTGAATAGTGTATTTATGAAAAATATGTGGTTAAGAAATAAGGAAAAAACTTGAATTTACATGTAATATTATTTTATTAAAAATATGTGGTTAAAATAATGTCAAATCACTGTTTAATAATGTATAGAATGTGGCTCAAGCTCTAATTGACCTATTGTAGTCTTCAGCATCTCTCTAGCTGACTTTTCCCTTCAACCTGGCCGGTGGCTTTTTTAACTCGTCAGGCTTTGTAATGCATTTTTCAGTTTCGGTGTCGGTGACTAAGTTTTAGTTTTATTATTGTGGTGCGCATGCTCAATTTATTGTGTATGTTAATGAAGCGGTTATGCGACAGCAGAACAATTTAGCTTCACCATTGCGCTTAGTCTGATTAAAACTCTCTCAAAATGCCGGCATTTTAGAGGGTCACCACTCGACAAAGTACACCAGCCTGTAGAGTTATCTCATCTTGAAACGAGTACTTAAGCTAAATTTCATCATCCCTGCTGTACACAGCAAGCCTCATACAGAAGCCTGTCAGAACATACACAAAGGGAGAGGGTAGGTGGGGGTATTTTTTGACAATTTTTTATTTATGGTGGATCTCACACATGAGATAATCTAGCGAAATTCTGTGGAAAATTTTCTATACGTATGGCTCAATACAAATTCCATTCCTTTGCAATAATATAAGAAAATATTAATCAATATCTCAATTATATGATGGGGTGTTATATCGAATGGATGGCTTAAAAATGATTAATAGTCAATTTTAAATTTAAATTGCAAAAAGTAGCATAGAGTCGTGTCTTGACAATACGCGAGGATAATTCCCAAAAGAGAATGCTCGGGAACCAACAAAAGTATCAAATTTGAGCATCAAATAAAGATATATCACCCAAGTCCGTACCCATATTTCAATCCAAGTTTGATTTACTCTCACTTGATCAAACAATTGAACACCTATTGATTCCATGGGAAGAGGGTTTTAATCCTAACTTGTAGTAGAGAGCAAGGCGGGTATGGATATTTCAGGCAATTGGAACAGCAATCACTATAAACAACAATGAAAAAGAGAGATGTAAATTAAATAAACACGGTGAATTTAGGAATAATACGAGAAATCCACGTGTTCCAGAGGCTGAACGAAGAAAACGAGCTAAAAATGGTAAGAAATCAAGGAAGTTCATTTACTTGGACTGCTATCCATATGAAACTATTAATGCACGGGCCTAAATGGAGTAGCTATCAATTTTACATGCAAGTTGACATCATGGAGCAAAAGGAAAAATTGCTCCCTTGAAAACTGTGTATTTAAGCAGCCATGGAGTTCTGGCTAACCTCGTATAAGTAACTGCAATTTACCAATTATTTTCCGCTAGTCTTCCACTTTTTGATAGGAAAGAGAGTTACATTTTTGTTGGGAGTGTAAGTTACAACCTCTGTTGGTCGTAATACGGATATAGCAGCAGTCCGACATTGGTTCTTCTGTACATTGTCGTCTGTCAGAGGTTTCAGCTCAAAACTACCTCTTGTGAAACCTCTCGCAACCTGGTACAGCAACAGGGATTGCGTGAAAATGAATTATTCACATGGATAGTGAAAAAGATGAGAAAAAGGGAGCACAATGTCCAAATCAGAGATATTAGTCATGCATTTTCTTCGGTTTAGGATCCGTTGAAATAGATGAAAAAGGGTCACCATAGTGTAGAAATGACCTAGGCAAAAGCATATTTGGCATGGCTTAAATTATAATTTAAGTTGGTCAAACATACTTTTTATCAACATATTTTGCAGGACCCACTTACTACCATCCACTTATTATCCTGGAACCTACAGCTTATAAGCAATATCAAACAAGCGCTAAAACTTACTTGTGGACTTATCCCTAGACAATTCACAATGATATGCCAATGGGTAATCCAGAAGAAGTTAAGAGAAATTCTGCATACCTTTAGAAGAATCCAGACTTTGAGAGAACTACTCAAAACTGCTAGTCTTGTCCTCTTTCCCGAGGTTAAATAGTTACACATATGCCGATCAACCCTAAGTATAAATCGTGGCCAGGACTTAGGGTTTTCAGGATCTGCTTTCTGGTCAGTCATTGACTGATCAAACAGAATGAGTGATAGAAAGATTAGGCAAAAGGAATGTCCATTAATAATACAAGTGATAAAATTTGTAAAGAAAGTTGTTGCCTGAACTTTATTATCTCATATAAAGAAATCACTCACCAGCAGCCGGCAGATTTCATGTTCAATCTTGGAAAATGAGGTCTCTAAAGCTTCCACTCTCCCGGTAGCATGACAGCAAGTGCATGGTTCACTGATCATGAACGTTACACTAGGTCGAACCTGTTAAGCATCATAAGGAAACATCAGGTATTGTGCAGTTACAAATGCTGATATTTGAGTTCCAGTATTGCATAAGAGTTACTCGACATTTCATTTTATAGTGGATGAAATCCACTTTAATTCTTCTAATTCATAATTTAAATCTTTGAAAAGAGACAAGTTTGTAAGAACTGCTTCTCAAAACAATTAAGAGAAGGCACCTCAAAACCAACCTTCAACATATATGATGCCGAGACCCACAAAAATAGTTACATACCCTCTTTCGTGTTATTTCCATAAGCCCGTGCCTAGACAATTCAGAGACTTTCACAGTTGATCGGTCCCTCTCAACAGCCTTTTTAACTTCATCATAAACCAGTCTCTTATTTTCTGTAAGGTAAAAGATTTAATTAATAACATAATGAAGTATTTTTATACTGTGTTTCAAATTAAATGTCTTCCTATACTTGGTTGTTTCAAGTTAATTCCAAACGACGTAAATAAATACTTCCCCGACCACGCAGATATGGTATACATTGTGTAAGACACGTGGAAAGAAAAAACTGTGAACTTACTATCGTCCAACATATCAATAAAATCTACCACAATAATGCCACCAATGTCTCTCAGCCTCAATTCTCTAGCAATCTGAAATAAATAAGATATTTTAGATTTCAGGTTGAAAAAAATGATACAACATTCCCATAATTAACTACTACACTGAAATCCACATCAAAGAAAGCTCCAACAGTCTACTTATGACAAAGACTACAACTCAGTCTACAGCATAAGGCCTTTGAGAAGCAATATGGCATCAATTGTAGACAAAAATATACATAAAATGGGGTTGTAAAATTCATGGATATAGGTGTTGTTTTAATTCGTTGATCTGGTGACATGAAATAAAATCTAAAGCACAGATCAATTAAAAATTACAACACACATTTTCCCACATCTCAGTATCTCCCATCTTCAAAGCAGGATATTCACAAAAATTAGTTCAATAAATTTATCAAATTTCTGGACTAAAGTCAATTATGAAGTTCATCTCATGTGTACGTGCAGCTTCCCTCTCTTTGGCAAATTACGCATGCAACCTAGAAAATTTTTCAATGTAAATTAATATACTTAATAATAACTTATTTCTGAAATTACTCAACCATATTTAAAATTTTGGCAACTACATATGCCTGTGTTTATAGTAATTGCAAAAAGAAGAAAGAACAATTGAATTTGTTTATAGCTAGTTTCATAAGAGTCTGAAAAATGTCAAAGCTTGCTTTAAAAGCTTAAAATTATAGCAACCATTATCATCTATCTAAGTTGTAAAAATTATGATGGTCAATGCCCCTAAAAAATAAATCATTTGATCCTCCCAGGTTCTCTCGTTAACATAATTGGCAACTGATACTGACCTCAGTTTCAACCCACCAAAAATAACAGAAAAGTCACCACATTTTATTGTTTTTCTAGCTATAAAAACATGTATGCCATCATTTTTACAGTTAAATCACTATTTCACTAGACAACGCGTACATCATATATTATCTATTGACTTTGTCAAAGCGGCAATGGTGTATAATGCTTTTAATGATGCTACTGGAACACATTTAATAACGTGTAGGATTACCATGGTTCAAACTCCTCTTCTAGAACTAAATATAAAGAAAGTATAAAATAATGCAAAATTATCAGTACTTGATTGGCAGCGGCAAGGTTGACATCAAGAATAGCTTTCTCTTGGGAAGTTCCTTGGCCAAGCATGCAATGTCCCCCATTCACGTCGATTGAGACTAATGCCTCAGTTTGTTCAATCACAAGATAACCTCCATTGTCTAGCAGAACCCTGTATAAAAGAGACTCATATGTGAATAAACATTAAATTTTTGACAAATCATTGAAACTAATATATTAAATCCAACTTGACAGAAAAACGATTTAAGTTTGGTTGGAAAGAAGCATTTACATTGAAGTTGAACAAAAAAGGAACCTCAAACACTAAATGATAAATAAACGACACAGGCAAGCAATATAAAACCACTGTGATTTAGGCTACACTCCAACAATTACAGGTTTTGCACGCTTCACTTTGTGCTTTTCTCTTCAATTATATTCTTTTGGACGAATTTTGTCTACCTTCATTTTCTTGGTTAAATTGTCGAAAACCTACCCCCGAATAAAAAGGTAAACAATGTTCCTCATGAAAAGAAAATTTTTTAAAAACTTAATAAGAAGAAATTTCCAGAAATTAAGCAAAAATTCAGACCTGGGGACCACAGTAGAAAGGGGTGTAACATTGCCCTTTCTAGGCCACAGGGGAGCCAGAGTGAGGAGGCCTATTCTAGGCGACAGGGGAGCCAGAATGAGGAGGGACTAGACAGTCTTGGTTTTCCTCGTGACAATAAATCGCTTCACTTTGATGCATGACAAATCAAGTTCTAAGTATAAATGTTTTTAGAAGTTAAAATATTGAATAAGGTAACTTGTTTTATAGAAAATGAAAAATGATTATTCTGGCTCAATTGTCCAGAAAGATACAAGGTTTAGAGCAGATATTATACTCAGCATTCTATTTTGCACTCTCTAGTAAGTGATGTCAGCACTAAAAAATGGAGTTTCATTGAGTGTGCACGCGCGCGCGCGTATGCGAGAGAGTGTAGTTTAGCATTATTCATGAACTTATAACCACATCTATCATACAAGACATTACATGTCGATACAAGAAAAAAAACGGAATTGCAATGAAATTTTATTAGCAGCGAAATAAACATACATGAATAGGGAATCATATATATCCATTGAAGCTTGTGAATTTGGATGACAAAAACATTAGTAGTTTTTCTCACCTTTTACTGAGGATGCTATTTATTTCTTCCTCAAGACTGTATTCATTGAAAAGGGGAGTTCTTTTGCTGTATAACTCAACTCTGTCACAAAGATCAG